ACCAAGAAGGAAAAGTTGCCATTTGAAAAGCACCTTTGGGACATGTGAAGAACATTTTTGTTTCCCAATAAAGAATCACCCCAGAATTCTGATTGTCGATCAGTTTAAGGAGCCTGGAACTTAAATCTTAGTCATCCCAGAGTCCTCCTGTGACATCACAAGGGCTCAGCAGAGCACCAAAGATCATTCAGTTGATGGTATTTGCATAAAAAGCAGAGAATTTGCCTCCAAGAATTCAATTTAAGGCATTTGGAAGGAAGGAGAGGCAGGAGAAAAACAGCGGTGTGCACATTCCTCTTACAATGTTGTGGGCCTACTCTGTTCTGTTCCTGGGATGGCTCTTCTCAGGTGAGTCCAGACCATTGGTTGAAGGTTTTCGAGGGAGGCAGAAGACGCTTGTCTGTTTCATCAAGATCCATCCAGTCGACACACTAACGTAGTTCCTCATTTTTTATTGGGTTGCAGGTTTGGAGTCCCAGATGATATTAACTCAACCATCCTCCATGTCTGCGTCTCCAGGATCAACATTTAACATCCCTTGTCAAATGAACACTGGCTACAGCATTAACAGCGAGAGAGCCAGGTGGCTCCAGCAGAAACCCGGTGGCGTCCCACGTTTTCTGTACCACTATTATACCAGTACTGATCAAGGCAGGGGAACTGGGGTCCCAGAGAGGTTCAGCGTTTCCCCTGATGCCTCCCAGAACCTCTGGAATCTAGTGATCAATGGAGTTCAAGTGGAAGATGATGCTGTTTATTACTGTGCCTCATGGGACTACAAACTTACTGGGTACACGGTGATTGACTTTAACGAGGAACTGAGACAAAAACCTTTTGCTTGTCGCATCTGCAGGTGAAGTTGTGAACAGACAAAGCACCGAACTCAATTCCCAAAACGTAGGCAGATAGTTTTACTATTTCTTCTATTTCTCTTGCAATTTGGAACCGCCATTGCCAAGCGCTGGACTTAATTTTCAAAACACATCACCCGTTTCTACAACCGTTCGTTGCTAACTATTGACCGAAGTCACACCATCCATGCTTTACGTGCTTTGAATAATTTAAAGTTTCCTTAAAAGGGCCTGAGAGTGTTCGGGGTCCTTTGCCACGATTTGATGTTGCTGCTCCAAAATTTGAACAGAAGATCCCCAGGGGTGGGATTCTAATCGGTTTGGACTGGTTCTATAGAACTGGTTATTATGATTGTGTGCAATTCGCAGTACCGGCAAATTGTGCCCCTGGCTGGCTCCACCCCTCTCTGCCCAGTCAGTCCTTATCGTGCATGTGTGACATCATTGACTGCGTTCTCCCCTGACCTTCCTGCTCCTTCCCATCACCCCTTAAGGTATTTTCTTTTTTCTCTCCTCCTGACAATCAGCTATTCCGATGATCAGGTGTTCCAGGATCCCCCGCGCTGTCTTACCGCTTTGCCCAGGAGGCTTCCCTGAGGCCCAGGAGGCAAAAAAATGGAGTGTGTGGGGTTGTGGTGCAAAAAAGAAGAAACCACCACGACTATCCAGTCACATGGCCATGCCCACCTAGCCATACCCACAGAACAGGTAGTAAAAATATTTGCATCCCACCCGTGAAGATCCCCTTGCGCCACCCATGTCGGTGATGCATAGGACAAAACCAAAATGTAAGAAAGGATTGCTATCTTCCACTTCGATTTCTATCTGGTGCAGAATTAGGAATCAGGGTGGCCCAGTGGTTAGGAAGCAGTATTGCAGGCTGAGTCTTGCCCACTGCCAGCAGTTTGATCCTGACCGGCTCAAGATTGACTCGGCCTTCCATCCTTCCATGGTTGGTAAAATGAGGACCCAGATTGTTGGGGGATAATACGTTGACATTGTAAATCACTCCGAGATTACTGCAAAGCACTATGGAGTTGTATATAAGTGTAAGTGGTATTGCTATAGGTATTATAAACAACCCATCTCCATGTCCATATCCATCCAAAAGGGGGCAGCAAAAAGCCATCTGCTGATTTTATGCACCTCCTCACCCACAGCCTGGACTTAAAAAGCCACCGATTTGCATGAAGGATTGACAATACTTGTTCTCAGAGGGTTTAAGTGGGTCTTGGAGAAGGCCAGTTAGTGATTCCTGTCCTTCCAGAAGATTAACTGCCTTTCCATCATGGCTTAGGTCCTTGTGCTCTTCATCATCTTCTCCTCCTTCAGTGAGGGATTTTTAAAATTACTATAAGGGAGGGATAAACCTCACAGGCATCTTATGACTTGCTCTGGCGTCAATCACACAACCGTTCGGTATTTTCCTCTGTGATCTAGTCCCGTTCTTTCCCCACCCTTTCATAATCTCTTTCAGATCTCAGTGTCCAGCAGCTGAAGAACAGCCAGGGAATGGTCAGATAAGAGGCCTTCTTAGCCCACCGCAGGAATGTGGGAATGGCAAACATCTGAGAAGTGATCTTCTCTGTGCCATGAAGGCAACATGGAAGAAGTATGTTTTTAGACTTTCAAGAGTCTGTTAATGTAACTTTATGGTAAAGAAGTTTTTGTTAATGTGGGCATTAATTCTTCTTTATTGGGACTACCTTGCCAAGTTAAGGTCAGTCTTGCAAGTCTGAAAGTACATTTCTTTCCCCATCACCCTTAGTCCAAGAAACTGGAGAGATATTTCCAGTGTCCCCATTCCTGCTGTGGGCTCTGCTCCCAAGGTCATTCTCACATACCAATATGCACACCTTGCTGGGAACCCTCATTAGGGGACAAAATGGACGCCAACCATGCTCATTGAGCTGATTAATTCATCCCCAAATGGATGAAGGATAAACTCCTGAGCAAGAACAGAACTCGTGTTTTTGGATGAGAACTGAAGAAGCTTCTTGGATTAAAATGAAACTTTTTCAAAGAAAAACAAAGACAGTCTAGTTGCATTTTGAAAAGCACTTTGGGGACATTCACAGAACAACATATTTTTTTTCCAAGAAAGAATCACCCCAGAATTCTGGTTGTGGGTCAGTTTAAGTAGACTGGAAAACCTCCTCTTAAATCTAAGTCATCCCAGAGTCCTCCTGTGACATCACAAGGGCTCAGCAGAGCACCAAAGATCATTCAGTTGATGGTATTTGCATAAAAAGCAGAGAATTTGCCTCCAAGAATTCAATTTAAGGCATTTGGAAGGAAGGAGAGGCAGGAGAAAAACAGCGGTGTGCACATTCCTCTTACAATGTTGTGGGCCTACTCTGTTCTGTTCCTGGGATGGCTCTTCTCAGGTGAGTCCAGACCATTGGTTGAAGGTTTTCGAGGGAGGCAGAAGACGCTTGTCTGTTTCATCAAGATCCATCCAGTCGACACACTAACGTAGTTCCTCATTTTTTATTGGGTTGCAGGTTTGGAGTCCCAGATGATATTAACTCAACCATCCTCCATGTCTGCGTCTCCAGGATTAACATTTAATATCCCTTGCCAAATGAACAGTGGTTATAGCATTAACAGCGAGAGAGCCAGGTGGTACCAGCAGAAACCCGGTGGAGCCCCACGTTTTCTGTACCACTATTATACCAGTACTGATCAAGGCAGGGGAACTGGGGTCCCAGAGAGGTTCAGCGTTTCCCCCGATGCCTCCCAGAACCTCTGGAATCTAGTGATCAATGGAGTTCAAGTGGAAGATGATGCTGTTTATTATTGTAGCTCATGGGACTACAAACTTACTGGGCACACAGTGATTGACTTTAACGAGGAACTGAGACAAAAACCTTTTGCTTGTCATGCCAAGTCAGGCTCCCGCAGGTGAATTTGTGCAACTACAAAGCGTTGAACACTCTTCCCAAAACATATATACCTACAATACAACTAAGTCCAAAATTTCCCTTGTTAAGTGAGATACTCATTAAATGCATTTTGCCCACATTTTGTGACTTTTCTTGCTACCTTTGTTAAGCGAATCCCCACAGTTGTTAAGTTAGTAATATGGTTGTTAAGTGAACCTGGCTTCCCCGTTTGACTTTGCTTGTCAGATAGTCGCAAAAGGTCCTGGAACTGTCAAAAATACATGCCAGTTACCCAGCGTTCCAAGTTTGATCCTGTTTTTTTATTTTATTTATTTATTTGGTCAAGCATGCATTTGATAATATATGTAAGTATAAACATGATTATTAATGCATGAAATAGATATGAATAAAAAGAGGACATTAGGACAGGGATGGTTGTTCTGACCCAACCAGGTTCCCCAAGAGCAAACACAGACAAAGGCAGCAGCCCCCACCTTTTAAGGTTTAATAACGAGTTCTGTTCCCTTACAGATAAAAGGCTGCTTTCCTCTAATTATCTCCGATAAGAAAGAGCCTTGCCAAGGTGTTCGTCAATGCTGCCCAAAACCCAGAGATAAGAACTAATTTACCAGATTCTCCAAACACAAACTAAAATGTCCACAAGTTGAGTTTCAGAGCTTCTTTGCTGTCTGCAAGGAAGGCTTTTCCAAACCTGGCTTTTATCCTCTTGAGGGAGGGGCCATGACCTTGCAGCCTTACTCTCGACTCGCCTGTGCTGCTGTAATTGTTCTTTCCTCCGAGCAATCCTTCGTGCACGTGCACTTGGCACAGGCTCCTCAGGAACCTTCTCGTCAGTGCTGCCAGCCCCCACAATCTCTGAAGGCAGCAGTCCACTCCCTGATGGTCCTGGCCCCTCATCGGAGTCCTCACTCTCCTCAGCTGTCCGCACCTGCTGCCGGCTAACCACAACCAACGGTAGGCACGCTGGTGTGTTTATGCACTCCCCCTTACAGACCTCTTAGGAATGGGGTGAGGTCAACAGTAGACAGTCTGAGGTTAAAGTGTTTGGAGTTAGTAGAAGAAATGCGACTGTGGAAATGCTCCATAAGACACTTTTTTTCAGTGCCCTTGTAACTTCAAATGGCCACTAAATGAATGGCTGTAAGATGAGAACTATCTGCATTTTACTCTTCTCTCCTAATTCTGCTGCAATTAGGAGTCACCATGGCAAAGGGGTTAGGGTTAGGGTCTTTTATTGCAAAACACAAAACACACCTTTATCTAGACTTCCCCAGGCAAGAGCTGCCAGTCTAGGGAGATTCCTACTAAATAGGCATACAACAATAAAGTAGCTAGTTTGAACTCTATACTTGTACACACTCTATACTGATTGTTTGTGCCTGCCGATGGGTCTATTACTGCCACTCTTATGGGTTCTGTTCTCCATGTCACGTGCAAGAAACTAGGAACAAGAGCTGAGTTCAAAGCTCTAAAAGTTTATTACATGCTATCTCTACACAAAAATCTGTTCTACTAATAGTCAAGCCAAAGAAGAATGAGATAAGAGTCAACAGAATTCATGGGAAACTGGTCTTAAGTTTCTTGTAGGAACGTAAGGATTCCGAGCTGATGACGCATTTAACCCCACCCTCAGTCTCACCCTGCTCATCTTCATAACTTTATATGAGTATCATTCCTCCTTTAACGAGCAGTTTTCCATTTGTGTTTGTGTGTTGCTGGGAAGGAAGGGAAGAAGAGAAGGAAGAGCTAGGAGATGGGTAGTATGAAAGTTCTTGAACAAAGTTGGAGAGATGTATAAAACCAGCAGGTGCTGCTGTTGTTCTTATGAAACCAAACCTTCAATTTGAATCTCTTATCCTCAATTCTCAAAGCATTTGTTTCCGATCTATGGAATTGTGGGGAGAAGGAATGAAAAAGAATGATTTCAAAGAGGTGCTTTATGGAGAAAAAGGGAAGAATGAAAGAACCAGTAGGAAAAAAAAACAGTATGGAATCTATCTCTTTTACTTCAAAACAGGTTTGGAACTTAACCTGGAATTCCTGACCATGCTAGTCAAAGAATACAATGTCTTCAAAATTTCCAGGTAGTCCAAATTTTCA